TGGGTTACTGTTATTTTATTAATATTTACTTATTTAATTAATTAATTAATTTGGCTGCTTCGGGTCTTAGTTGCAGCACGCAGGATCTTTGTTGAAGCATGTGGGATCTTTTGTTGCGACGTGCGGGCTCTTCATTGCAGCATGCAGGCTTCTCTCTACTTGTGGCGTGCGGGTTTTCTCTTCTCTAGTGGAGGTGTGCGAGCTCAGTGGTTGTGGTGCGTGGGCTTAGGTGCTCCACCGCATATGGGATCTTAGTTCCCCGACCAGGGATAGAACCCGTGTCCCCTGCATTGGAAGGCGGATTCTTTATCACTGGATCACAAGCGCAGTCCTGGGTTACTGTTATTTTAAATTGAATTAATACGTACTAATTTTTTTTCCTCAGTTTTGTTTTCTAATATAGTTAATATCAACAGATACAGCCCACAAGATAAAAGCTCTTTGGAGTCCTTAATATTTTAGTAAAAAAAAGTCTTTGGCTAAGATGTTGGACTAGATGATGGTTCCTAATTTTAAAATGCTATGATTCCATAGTATGTGAAAGCTATGTGTAGAATTTTCAATCAAGTATTCACTTGTAACAATGAAAGAGTGGTCTAAATGTGCTGATATATCTCAGCATAACCTAAAGCAAATATAAACATTTTAACCATTTAAAACAGAGGAAAACTAGATTATAACTTTCTCTTGAAAGGGACCATGCCATCTAATTTTTTGTACTTTGACAGCATTTAGCTCAATGCATGGCTATAAGAATCCCTTCTATTAGAAGTAATAAAAAAAATCATTACCTTTTACCAAATACAGAGGCTTTTCTTTCAGATGTGGGTTTGTTTATATTCAATTTTCCAAAGGTTTTCTCTTTGCTTTAAGAAAAGGAGAAAAACAAACTCTTTAAACAAGTGGAAAAATATTAGTTCAAGAAACTTTTGTAAATACATTGGAACCAACCCCTCTTCCTCACTACTTATAAGAATAATTCAAAATCATGAAAATTTTTAGCAGCAATCATAGCTATCAAAAATAGGATAGGCTTACAACATAGTATGAGTTTTAACGCTAAATGTTAAGAAGAAAGGAGGAAAAAACCCCATATCTACATTTTAATTTTAATTATCCTAAAATATGTACATTTATGGATAACAACTTCAAAGGAAAAGAAATGACTTAAAAATAGATATTTTCATAGAATGATAGCCACATTTAAAATTTTTTCTTTTGAGGCTCACTCTTTATTAAACTGCAGCTACACTTAAGAACATACGTTACGTCAATTACAGACCAGAAACATTGACAAAGGCAGCCTTTTAGCTTTGAATGCAATTCAAGGCACAAATCTTTTGGAGTAGTAATGTGCAACAGTACAAAACATTTCTCTGATTTCAGAAGAAAAAAATGTATAAATATTTCAAATTTCTAAAAGTAGCAGAGGCTCATACTATGTAAACCCAAGTAACTTAAGAACAGTTAGCAAGTAACTTGTACCTTGGTAATAGAGAAGGACTGATAGCACTCAACATGGTTACAAATATCCTTCTCTTAATTGTAAGAAATTCATTCATAGGGAAAAATTAGTTTATGATTTTAAGTTCTTTTTTCCCCCTCATTTTATTTTTTATTAAAAAAATTGAAGTCCAGTTGATTTACAATGTTTCAGGTGTATAGCAAAGTGACTGAGATACACACACACACACACACACACACACACACACACACATACTTTTTCAGATTCTTTTCAATTACAGATCATTACAGGATATTGACTATAGTAATAGCAAGTTCTTTGGGGCACCTTTTTGTTCCAGTGAATCCTGAGGAAATAGTTTGGAGGAGTGGTGTTCTGTAGGCTGCTACTAAACTGCAGCTAATTGTCGGCAAATAATACCTTTCATTGAGAACTGTGCTAGTTGGATACACCTCAGTAAATAGAAGTTACAGCACAGAACCTGCTCAAACAAGCAGCTCTACAGTAAAGAAGGAAAATAAAAGAGTGGAAGAGTGCTGAAAAAGAATTAGCAGTCCCTCAGGGATTGCCTAGCAAAAGACGTGGCTTTGGAGATTTAACTATCAAATGAGATAAAACACAACACCTAGTAACATGCCCACTTTTTAGCCTTCACTGACTCCAAATTAGGTACCACTGAGAACAGATAAGATTCATCACAATATGACTCATACTACATCTTTGTATTAACCTCCTTTAAAGATTTCTTTGCCAAAGACAATAAGGCATAGGTACTCACGTTTGAGGGGTATGGAGGCCTGGTTTATTTAAGTCCTGGGATCTTAATTCCTGCATAGAGAGGCGGCCAGCACCACCCGTAGAAAATGAACTGCGTTTCATGCTTACGACGTGCATTCATGAATTTGGTAATGAACAAGTCTTTCCAGACACAGATGGTACATTAAGCAACAACTATTATCTTTACCCTAAAACAGAAAGGCAGCCAAGTTTCACTGTTTTTTCAAGATAGTCTTTCCCCCGCTATCTTTGCTTGTTCATGTAAGGTGAGATCCTAATTTGCAGGGAACATCTATCTATTTAACTCCATTTAAAAATATTCAACACAGGGCTTCCCTGGTGGCGCAGTGGTTGGGAGTCCGCCTGCTGATGCAGGGGACACGGGTTCGTGCCCCAGTCTGGGAGGATCCCGAGTGCCGCGGAGCGGCTGGGCCTGTGAGCCATGGCCGCTGGGCCTGCGTGTCAGGAGCCTGTGCTCCGCGTCGGGAGAGGCCTCGGCAGTGAGAAGCCCGTGCCAAAAAAAAAAAAAAAAAAAAAAAAAAAAAAATTCAACACACATAAACACTTACTAACTGCCTACCATGTACAAGGGAGTGTGCAAGCAATGCAAACAATACAAAGGTGAATAAGGTATGATTCCTACCTTCACAGGGTATTTATGGTAAACTCCTAAATCCTAACTCAGACCACATCACCACTGTTGGCTGTGCCTATTTCAATGGGAAGTCAGAGGCTACTGACAAGAACTACCTCTGATGTTTCCTTTTCTTTGGTTTTGGAACAGAGCTATTCAGTTTTCTTTTCCTAATGTCCATCTCCCCTGCTCTGTCCTTAACCTACTGTTTCCCACTTATATTATTCAATTACTGCCCCTCGTGCTTCAATCTCCCTCTCATCAAGGATAAATTATCTGGCCTACAGACTGCTTTCATTTTCTCAGACCACATTCACATCTCATTCCCTTCCCATCTACTGAAATGGTTGCCCCCTGAGATACTCATGACTAACAAATCTTTTGATCCTATCTTAACTCTGAGGCATTAGACACTACACACCTAGCCCTTTCAAGTCCTGCCCTGGTTTCCAAGAAAGTGGACATCTGTGGTTATCCTTTTACTTCTTGGGGCTCTCCTTTGTCTTTTAAACTGATTACACTCTT